GACTTAAGATCCAATGGACGTGTTGTCCGCGTGGGTTCGAACCCCACTCCTGGGTTTAACAACCGTGTAACTTTTAAAGTTGTTTTTCCGTGTATACTGAATACTGAATTCATAACAAAATTTATTTCCAATTTATGATCAGCGGCTGAGAAGATTGAGTAGCACTGTCATTTAGCCGTTTGTCATTGTGCTTGCATTTTTCTCATCTGTTTTTATCTGTTTTGCACTTCATTTTGCTCTTTTAAAGATATTATCATTGATTTATCTCTAGCTAGGAGAACGAATCAAATTATATTATGATTAAAATAATTAATTTTATCACTGACTAATTAATTATACTGCGAACTGGGAGCAAAGCACTGAGGCACTATGAAAGTCAATAGAAAACTTGAGCAAGTGGTCTGACTATTTTAGCATAACCCACTGACTGACCTGTTAACGCGGTTTTCAATTGTGTAGTGTGGTGTAAAACTTAAACCAACGTTATCACTCTAGCCAATCACAAAAAACACAGGCAATTAAATGAACCAATCAAACCTCGAGGTAACTACATGTAGCTGACGCGACGCGCAGGAAAACGAGTGCGAACGAATCACGATTTGTTTTGGTTTTACTTCTGATTGGATGAAAAAGTGGCGCGAGTTTTCTAAGCCAGTCGTGTCTTGTAGTAATTCAAAAAACCATTTATGATTGAAAAACGTTACTCTGTTTTAAAAAATGTAAAAATGTTAGTAAAAATTTTTTGTAAAAATCCCAACGTTTCGGCTAAAACTTCAGCCTTCATCAGGGGAAAGTGACAAGGAATTTGTTAAAAAGGCACGTTCTTATACTATGCAAATCGACAAATCGGAGCTAATTATGTTCTGTCTCTTAGGGCTAAATTTAAAAATTCGTGCGGCAAATGCATGCCGGATTCCTACGCTTTGTTATTCATGCAAGTAAACCGAAACGGCCTTCTCAACAAACGCCTGCAACTGTACCGGATGACAAAAATGGTTTCTGCATTTTACCGTATGTCAAGGGCACTACGAAACCGATTAAGCGAATCCTAAGCAATTGCTGGTTTTCAGTGTCACGCAATTCAAAATAGATCAAAATAAAAATCAAAACCGGTCAATAGA